AAAACATTTTATTTTAGTTTTTGTTTAATTAGTATTAATTGTGTTATCTGTGTTGTATCCGTAGAACATGTAGTGGAATGGCTGTGACCACGGTTAAACTGGGGGAAAGCCAGTTACCCCTCACCATTGATCTATTATTTAGATAAATGTATGTTATCAACATAAAATACTGGCCTTCTTTTTTATAGAGAATATCTAAAATATTATACAAAGAATGTAGTATCAAAGTATCAAACCAACACACTGCCTTCAAATGTAAAAAAAATAAATAAATACCAACATAATAAAAATTAGAAGTGAAGCGGTCTCTTCCTTTGCCTTGTCAGAGTCTTCTTGAGGATGGCAGAGACGGGCCAGATTCCTGTCAGGAAAACAAAACATTCAGGCTTGTTTCAGTTTATAAAACAAATAAACTCCACTGATTAATCCAAGCAAAGTGGAAAACCAAGTCATTTGTATACAGGAGATCAAACCTCCTCTCAGCATTAAGTGAAGTTTTATTCTTTGATCTTACGTGAAGCGCATAAAAACAGCACAAAAGCAGAGAGCATTACTATTTGTTTCCCACCCAGGAGTATTGATTGCTAAACGGTAAATTAATGCCTTTTACATTTAAAGCAGTGGTCTCTCCCGCTAATTTAATTAATTGGAAAAGTGCCTGGAATTAGAATTGAGGCTCATTGGAGATAAGTTGAGGACAGAAACTTTTCTGAAGTGTTTTTGAGCAAACTAGCAAGTAGGAGATGATCCAGACTTTGCTGATCATGTATAACAAACTAAAACGGATCCCAGTGAAATATGTTTGTGAGATGAAGTGAAATGTGTCCCTATCTTTACAGATAAGCACGTACTATTGAGACTGTCAAACATTTTACTTGCTATAATACACCATGTATAGGAGAAAACAGCTTATTTTGTCGGCACAAACTGTGATGAGAAAATCAAATCTGATAGAGGAAATCCACCATGAGGCTCTGGTTCCCAAACAAGATGTTTATTTTCTGCTCCTATAAATACAGCGATTTATAAGAGAAAAGGGTTTGCTCTCTTATTTTCTTTTTGCCATACTTAAATGTTTCTTATCAGCAAAACAATTTTAATATACATTTTTTTTCAAATGATGATATAGGAAAAGGACAACAAACCAACATGGCCTGACAGAAAAAATGCAATCGCCACTGTTGCCCACCTTCTGAAATTATGATTTAAGTTTGATGTCTAACAGACCTAAAGGAAGAAAACACCCTAAACAGAGCCTATCTGACAACATGAAGAAGGATGAAAGATTTCAGCAGCAGCATTCAGCACTTATAATGAAGTAAAAAAAATAGATTATTACAAACACTTTGCACAGCCAGTTATTGAGTTTGGGAGCCAATTCCTTTTTTCATATGTGGTCAGGGTTGGTTTTGACAGTTTAGTTCCTTTAATGAATTGTAAATACTCAGGTTATGTTTGTCTATTACTGAGATCTATTAGATCTGAAACATGACACAACAAAGGCAAAGACTTTTCTCTAACTCTAAATTACTTTATTTTCCTAGGATACAAAGAAAGCAAACATGCAGACAGAGAGTAATGTGAAGCAGCAATACACTCCATCCATACTCTCATCCAAATGGAAGCTATGTACGCATTGAAGCAATAACAATCTGCTGAGATTATTAGTTGGATATATTGGCACATTTTCCAGGAACCACATGAAGACTTGAGATATATATAAATGTACAACCAGAAAATGTCACGCCACAGTATTACTACACAGAAATAACATCATTCTGAATGAGTTGTGCTTTCCAGAAGCTCTCTGCACTTTAAATCCCTGAAGAATAAAGAGCACCTGGACTGCTGGAGTAATGCTTTCAGTGTTTTTTTTTTCTGTTCAGTTGGTCACAGTCATGTTGTAACAAAAAGGTGTGAAAATCAAACACAGAAGGTCTTTGACGAATTTCAAGGATCCGTATTTTAAGGTTATACCAAGAAGTGTGAGCAAGATGAATAAAATATTTCTATCTGGCACAGCCTGAGCGGAGCAACGGCAGTGCTTTAAGGTGAAACTGCAAACATAACTTGTAGTTTTAGGAAAATGCTGATGGTTGTTTTTACCCCAGGCTCAAAGGTCCAATTTAAAAAGAGAGAAATACTTATGAGGTTATGCAATATCTTGCAAAAGTATGAAAATCTCTTTTGACATTCTGCAATCACAAACATCAATATGATTTATTCAGATTTTATATTATAAACCAACACTAACTCATGCATAATTGTGATGTAAGAGAAAGATGATTCATGGTTTTACATATTTTTAATGCTACTCTGACAAATGTGGTGTGCAGTTGTATTTAGTTGTTCAGGATGTAAGGTTTTACTAAGTTTGGTGTTTTGCATGTAGGTATAAAAGTGCAGCTTTCATTGAAACTTTTCTTTCATCTGACCGGAGAACTTCTGCACAAACTACAAGAGGTTCAAAATTAGGAAAGCTTGTGCAAGGCACTGGAGTTTGTGTCAGAGATTTGTTTAAAATACCAATAAAGCATAAATAATAGATCAGCTAGCCAGGCTAGAGCGCTAAGGCTAGCTTTTACAGAAACAGAACAAAAAATGAGATTAGATTTTAGATGTTTTCTTTCTGCCCAATAAACAGTAACATACTTTACATGGCAATGGCTCACATGTTTTTTTAAACTGACTTGTCTTAGTACTTGTAGCAGCTAGCTATGCAGCACTAAGGTTATTTTTGTTTGTTTGTTTGTTTGTTTGTTTGTTTGTTTGTTTGTTTTTAACAAGAATCATCTTTGGTAATTCAATTTCAGTTATTTTTTCATCTGATGGGATTCTTTATCTTTTAAAAAAATCTTCAAGCGAATAACAGAATAACAGTTTTGTTGTAAAGTCTGCTGTTGAAAAGTACAGAATTTGCATCCTAGTGGTGGTTCTAATTTACCAGAGATTGCAATGTGAAGCCATGTTTCTTCAAGGGGTCACAAAACACAACTGAACAAAACAACAGGGCAATATGTCACTGTTTAATATGCTAACTATATTAAACAGTATGTATTATGTGAAGTATGCCAAGTATTTAATATGTTAAGTATGCCAAAGAGACTCTTGTGGCTCTGGGGCTGCAGGTTACAGACCCCTGATTTAGCAGATGATCAGCTGGAGCTAAAAGTTCAACACCTTTTTTAAAAAAAATTAAATTCATTGTTGAAGTAAAACTGTGACGGAAAAAAAATATATATATTTGTCCAAGTGTCCATAATGGAGATCAGGACCAGTTCTAATGGGGCACCAGCCCCCGTTAGCCCCTGTCTAGAACCGCCCATGGCCATGCCCTTCAGCTAACATGATGGGGTTAAAGGCTACAACCAGAAACATGCTACAAATGGACAAATTGTAAAAGTCACCTTTTTTTATATATATAAGTAATTCCACTTTTTGTGACGGCTAGACTGCTGCAAGCTAAACCCCGAAAGGTTTTTTGCATTAATATCAGAACTTTATGCATATAATTGAACTTTTAAATTATCCGTTTTATTTCAAGCTGCAGTTTCTTTTACTTATTTTGCATCATTTGTGTCCAGCTTTGATAGGCCAAGTAATTATACCACCTATCCTCTTACCTTTGTAAAGAAACTGAATTATCAGGCACTCCTTTAATATCCGACTTTGCACCCCAGGTGAGTTCATTAAGAGGAGAATAGTTCATCCCCACTGTCCCCTGGCCCTTTGTCCTGGTGATTTGGGGGCATGCAGAGTAATTAAGATGGTTATAATCAACTCCCAGTCAGAGGGCGTTTGTGCAATAACCGTTTCCCTTTCAACATTTTATGGTCCATCTCTAAACTGACGGCCAGTTAAAGGTAAAACTTACCTTTAAGAAATACAAACTAATGAAAGGGCCTGCAGATTGAAATGGGAATTTTTCTTAGATTTATACTGATTTATGTTTGATTACACTATTTAATAATGATCAGACTTAAAAAATTCAATGCTCCTTGTTTTCAAATTAAAATAAAACTTGCAAGTTATGTCCTATTCCACCTAAACAACATGTCCTCCTGGCTTTCTGTGATGTAGCAATAACTTTTCCTAATCTGGAAGTCAGGCTGTCACTGATTTGACTCTCAAGCAACCCAAGGCACTGAAGCTTTGGGATTCACACAAAGCCAAGCCTCATCACTTTTATTTTAAAACATCTTTTTAGACCTAACGTGTCTGGTTTCTGCTGAGGAGTCATGTTTGGGGTTTTATTTTTTTGTGACTTTTACAATGACCTATTTAGAGAATGCTGTGTCATCAGGATCCCAGATGGTGTTAAAATGAATCTCTGCGAATCAGTGGGAAACTTTTCGTTTTTTCCTTTCTTTTCTTAGATTTTTTTAAAAAGTGGGAGAATTACGACATACTGTATGCTGGCGTAATGCTTAAATGAGAAAAAAAAATTAAGTGGTTTCTGTTATTTGGTTGCATTTTTTACATTGAATGGCTTGTGTTTTGCACATAACTTACATTCTGTAAGTTGCAATATTATGTTTTTAATATTTCTCTAAAGGTCTTTAGTTCATGTTTTGAAAGCTGCAAAGATTACATGTAGAAAAGCAGAATGCATAAAAATGCTTCATTAATTACATATTTTTGTTTAGTTGAACTGAGAAACATTGATTTTCTCTTCATTCACCTGTTAGTGGGCGAAATATAGTAAACAGCAAATAAATAAACTGATAGAGACCAACAAACTATTTGGTTAGGTGATCATAAAGTCATGTATGATTGGCATATTTAAACCAAAGTGGACCCTTTTGTTTAATCAGAAGGTATGGGCCAGTTGCCTAACTCTTTGTTGAGTTCTGACATTAATAATGTGATGAACAGAGCCAGAGGACACCAATTGTTTTGACTGGGAAAGTGTGTGGTGCATATAGATTTCTGTGTTCTTGAAATTTCCTACAGAAGTAAATGCACCACTTAAAAAAGTTAGACATACCGCTGATTAGTGTGATAAGGTTCAGCTGTTGCCTTGGATTCAGTGATACGATGTGAGAGATGCAACTTTTTATTATTTTATTTTTCACAAATATTAAATTAGAAATAATTTTTGACAAACACTTACCTTTTGGTGGACAGGAGAGAGGTGACTGAGAAGAGGTGATATGAGGAGACTACGTGGTGGAGAAGCAGGTAGGCTAACTATACCTAGCTTATCTTGCTAGCTTGCTGGGTCATTCTCTGAATTCGGTGCATTTTGTGTCCCATAGGTTTATCTCAAAGATTTTCACATAATGCAAACAACATTTTTTTGAGAAAATCAATGAAGTGTAGTGGTCAGCCAAATGAGCAAGTCCCCACTGACCAATGCTCATTTTTCAATGAATATAAAACAGAGTTGTTTGTGAAAGGTTTATTACCCCGAATCAGTCCACATGCAGAAAAAGACTGTATGGGAGCCGATGCTATTGTTACGAGATCATAACAAGACGAAGGAAGACAAAAAAGACAACACTGCTTGCTTCAGCCGTTGTTTACGTCCGGATTTGGAGCGTCTGGCTTCGTCTAGTTCAGGATTATGACGTGTCTCAAGTCGATGACAGGTCATGACCTCCCATACTGCAGAGGCTATGGAAAAATTAAATAAATAAATTGGATAAGTATTTGATTTAGTACAACATATTGAAGTGGCACAAATCAGTTTTTCAGGTTATTTTGTTTGTTGTTTGGTGAAAAGATCGGAATTGGGACGTTCAGACTGCCCTGAAAAATAGGATTTGGGTCGCACTTCACTGTTGTGTGTGAATACATGTTGTCAATTCTCAAACAGATAAGGGCTCAATTAATGTAAAATGAATGAGATGTTTGATCTCAGTGATCATTTCCTGGTTAAACAATGAAAATATTTGGTAATAGTCAGTTGAAACTAAATCTGATTCCTTTTCCTCTTTATTCAGTCTTGATCATATTTTAGACACTAATTCCTTAACATTTACTGCATGTTGTTATGTTGAAGCCTTTGTTTTTATCTAGTTGTGCATCTGCTCAAAGTGAAGTGGGACCTGTTTTATCAGCATATCTTTGTCTTGAAGATGAGCCTCATATCAGGATGCTGCTCTAACATCTTGACTATGTCCGCTGAGATTTTGATAATGTTCAAAGGGCATTTCTTAATTAATTGTGCTTAATCGTGCTCCAGCAGAGAAACCTCAGGCTGTGTAATATTTCAGAGGAGAGTTGGCATACTCAGAAAAATGAACTATCTTAATTCTAATCAAAACATGTAGAATTGAAGGTTGTAAGGTTTGAACAGTCTGCACTGACCGCACTGAAGCAAAAAGCTTTGTAAATAAATTGGAATATTTCAGGAAAGTAAATTTGAAATTCTTATCGGGTTTCCTTCTGTATTTGAAGTTTTTATTTGTTTGTTTTTGTTTAAGAGCTAATGGAAACACACCATTCATCACACATTTGACATTTCCTAAACGTGATTAAAAAATATTTTTACAACAGAAATGTTCTGTTTTTGTCCTGTTGTGACCAACGCAGCAACAAGTAAAGGTGCAACACAGCATTTTTTTTTATATTGATTCAAAAGCATTGTCAGTAATGAACAGTTGCTATTTTTATTTCAGTTTCATATATCGTCCAGTTTTTAAGAATTGTTTTTGCGATTTTTCCATTGAATTTCGTTTAAACTTGGGACAAAGATTATAGGTGTTTACAAGATATTAACATGACAAACAGTAACAGCAGAAAAGCAAAACAACAAAATGTTTTTTTTTAAGTGCAAAAAAAATTTAATGAGAGCAAATTAAAACCAAATTTGTTTCTTGGTGTCAGTATTTTGTGCTGATTTTACAGAAAGGAAGGTCATTGTTAAAAGAGCTGCTGAGTCCAAGCACAGCAATGGCAAGTTTGATAGAAGGAAACAATGTGAGCATTGGGTGTGTAATGGTATACTTTTCAGTAGCTGCTTTATAATTACATCAGTTTTACTGATAAACAGCTGAAAATGTGATTTTTTTTTTTTTCAGGTACATGAAGGTGTCACAGCTCTTCACCTGTAGAAATGCTGATTGGCAGCATTAGAGTTTTATAATTATGGAATCAATACCAATCTGATTAGTAACCATTAAGTTTATTTTCCTTCTTTTTGGATTTAAAAAAACGGAGTAAAAGTGAGTATTTGAGCTGTAAAAGTTGGTTTGAATGAAGACAGCTTTGAGCGATGACAGGACAGAGATGTTACGATGCCGGAAAAACAAAAGCTTCTGCTAGAAGTGAGGTCTTCACAACACTTTACTGTCTCCTATCTGACAAACCTTTGAGGAAGAACAGCCAAAGACATCCCACCCATGAAAAAACCTTTACAACTCGAGGTGAAAATAGTTTTTGGCAGCCTAGTTTTAGTCAGTCAGTCAGACCTTCTATTCGGAGGGAGGACTGATCCCATCCCAGGTGAAGTAGGACAAAATGGTCTGATGCCAGAGCAGCTGTCCAGAACTTTTTTTTTTTTTTTTTAAGTCGGAGATAAATGACTTGAGCTCCATTAAAAGTGAGAAGGGGCAGAAGCTTAATGGAGCCCTGGAGCACTGTGGGAACCATTTGGTCCCTTTTATCCTTCCTCCTACGTATGACCTAATCAGCCACGCTGATTATCCATGAACTGGGTGTTAAACTTTGTAGTTTGGCCCTTTACGTCTATGTGGAATGATAAAACTGTGATAAACAGCTGGTCGTTTAAAATTTCACCAAAACAGCATGACAAATGAAGGATAAATCAGGTTTTTTGAAAGACCTGAATTGAAAAGGTTTTAGTTTAAGCTGAAATATTGTTGCCATTGTCCAAAACACTGAAAAAACAACTAAATGTCCTTAAGTTGTGCACCATGTAGAAGTGGTCGAATTTGGACCAGAGACCAGTGATTTTTGTTAATATAATTTATGAGAAGCTACTAGCTAGTTAGTTAACTTCATTAGCAGCACTTTGCATTTTGGATCATATTGTAAAATTCTAGTTGTGTATAAAACATGGCTCATCAGAAGAGGCCTGTGATTTCATTTAATTTGTTTTGCTCCAGTGGTTTCTACAACTAATCATTGGTTTTAAAAAATTATGTTTTTTGTTTTTAGTACAGTTTGTATACAGTTTTAATACAACTTAATATGTTTTTTTTTTCTTTTGTTTTATGTTAGCTTAGAATAAACAGAAAAAATGGGAAGATTAAATTGGTTTCATTGGTCACATCCAGTGGTGGGCACAGTATCACTAATCTAACAGTGGAGCTAATTTTTAGCTTGGTGTTTTAGCTAACTTTGAAACCCTCTAATACACAGCTTCCTTTAAACTATTTTTCTCAGACAAATTCTAAACGGTAACTTAATTGGCAGTTTTATAAACTTTTAGCAGAATAAAGTTCAACACGTGTATTGAAGTGTTGGTTATTGTATGTTAAGAATGATAACCAAAATTAGTATGGAGACTGTTCTCTCAGTCTCATGCATTCTCCACAGTGTTAAGGCGTCAGTTAGGCCTGTCGCGATAAACGATAAATCAATTAATCGCACGATAAATTAAACCTATCGACCTCATTTTAATGAGGTCGGCTTTATCGTCTCTTCCTGCCTTTTTTTTCTTTCTGTTGATGACACTGAATGAAAAAAGGCTCAACTCCGGTGCTCTGCACTGATCCTCCCTTCCTCATTTCCTTAGTGTAATGCCCAGCGGACACTACACGATTTGTCGGCCCATTTTCAAAACCTGAGAGACCACACATTAGCAGACAGAAATCCTAGGTATAACGGTTCGATCGGGTTCGATCGTGCTGTGTGGTGTCCAGCCACATGGGCACAAAATAATGGCTACAAGTCCAGTTAACTAATTTTAAAATCAGGCATTAATCAATGCTTTACTAGAATCTACCTGTGATGCATGTGGCTAAAGTCAGCGTAAAGTCCTGACTGAATGAAAATCATTAGAACCTATTTATGTCATGTTAACGAAGAACAGCTGAAAAGTTTTTTATTTTATTTTTTTTATTTATTTATTACAGGAACAAAGCATACAGTAGCGCTTCTGTAAATAAGAATGCCAATTTTTCACCTGCAGTTCCTAGGCGATACATGTTTTCTGGAACAAAGAACACATACAGAACACCTCCAATAGTAAAACATAGTGAAAGAGAATTGGTAGTGAAAAAACACATACACGTACACACGCATATATGCCTCCGGAGGAAAAAGAAAAACTGGAAAAAGAAAAAATAAATAAAAAATTAATTAAATTAGGAAAAAATAATAAATAAATAAAATAAGTAAATACATAAATAAAAAAGAGGGGATTGATGCGCAGGGGGGTTTAAATTTCTACATTGAAGCAACAAACTCAATAAATGGTTGCCATTTAAAGTAGAATTTGTTCAAGTTTCTAGTTTTTGAATATCTAATTTTCTCCACCTTCAAAAAGGACATGACCTCATTTATCCACATTGTGCTGGAGGGGCTATAGTTGATTTCCAGTTAAGAAATCAACGATCACAGAGGTAAACGCTATCACTTCCAACTCTCTTACGGAGTATTGACTGTAATGCTCCGGGTGAGCAAAGATACCAGTATGAGCTGAAGCATCAATAGTTCTTGAAAGTACAACAGACATGGTGTGAAAGTAAACTTGCCAGAAATTTGTAAGAGCTGAGCAGGTAAAAAACATATGCGCAAGATTGCAGGGTGAACTTCCACATCGATCGCAAACATCCTCCATATTTCGGGAGACCTTTGCCAGCCTGGTTTTTGAATAGTGGCATCTGAATACCACTTTGAACTGTATCAAACTCAGGCGGGCGCATATAGAAGTTTTGTGAATGGCTGTCAGGGCTGCTTCCCACCAATACTCATCAAAAACCAGCCCCAGTTCACGCTCCCAGGCTCTCTTAGTGTTCGTAGTTAGAAAGACGTCATATGACTGAATCGAGTTATATATCTTTGAATTCAAAGACCTTTGCAAGGGGTTAAGTTGTATAAGTTCACCCCACGACTGCTCAGGTGGCAAGTGAGGGAAGTTGGGAAATAAGGATTTTGCACATGCCCTTATCTGGAAGTATCTAAACAGATGGGAGGGTGGGAGATCGAATTCAGAAGCCAAATCAGTGAAAGAACAAAAAGACCCTTCCCTATAAAAATCCTTGAAACAT